CTTCCTTCCTTCCTTCCTTCCTTCCTTCCTTCCTTCCTTCCTTCCTTTCTTTCTTTCTTTCACATCAAACTTCAGGTACTTTTCTTTGTAAATAGAATATAACTAATGGAATTCTTTCCACCTTTATGTTACCCTTGCTTTCTGCATCAGGGCAGGACCGGTGACTATTGGTTAATAAGGAAAAGGAAAGTGACAGTAAAATTTGCCGGTTTTGCTAATGACACATCCTCTAGGTGAATTTTCTTTTTCTGGTGTCGCTCAGCTGGCAGCCTAGTTTCCTCGCCTGCGTGTGCGGTTTTTGCTTTTGTTCTATTCTTTCAGTCTCCTATGGACACTTTCAGGCACAAGCAAACAAAACATTTCATAATTCTACGTGTGCAGCCCTCGCCCTGTTTGACAGTCATTAACTTTATGCTGATCCTGTTTGGTAAACTCCTGCCTCTTCTGGATTCGTGGGAGTATTTTAATGCAAACATTGTTTCTCGTGGGAGTGCCACGCTTCGGTATTTATTTCCAACAGGCAAGGATTATCACACCCACCGAAACCAGCAGGTCTTTTTATCCTCATGCGGTTTTTAGTCATGTGCATTGTATTGCTCCAAACAAGGGCTGTAAGCCTTACACTGAGAATAACTTCAGACTTATAAAAAAGGTTGTGAAGTTGTACCACAGAGCCCGCAGCCCTCCCTGGTGCTAACGCCTTACATAACCACGTCACACTGAGAAAGAAAGCGGTACCGGTGCATGAGTAAATGGGCAGCAGACTTCACTCCTTCACCACGTGTTTCCACTGAGGTCCTCTTACTATTTGGGGATCCAGGGGTGTATTTAGTCATGTTTTCTCAGATTCCCCGAGGCTGCGGTGGTTTCTCAGCCTTTCCCTTGTTTCAACCCCTTGACATCACTGAGACCATCCGTGAGGAGTCACTGAATAACACCTGCCTCTCCACCATGTCCTTGGTCCCAGAGTCCGAGCCATTATGTCACAGAATGTTCCATGTCCTGGATATGCCTGATTTCTACTTTGTGGTTGGGGAATTGTTTGTGTTGTTTTTTTTTTTTTGTTTTGTTTTGTTTTGTTTGTTTCTGTTTTTACAGTTGTCACTTTGCCTTTCTGGGGTGTGTGTTGTGGGGGGGCTGGCATCCAAAGCAATATTGGATCCTCCTGAGTATCCTGTTGTTGCCCTGTGTCATGTAGATCCTGCAGCTTTGGGTCAGCAGGACTGAACCTTTCATGCTCTCCAACAGTTCACAGATGTAGGTTTGGGGGTGCCCCAAGTCAATGCTTTCCTTTAGGAGCACTCTCTTGTTCATGGTGTCTCTTCATAGCAATAAAACAGTGCCTGGGACAGAAGCCAAGAACGGCCTTGACTGATGGGATTTAAGCGCGTGTGCTTCCGTGCCCAGTATTCATGGGAGCACACTCCTAGTATTCAACTGAGCTGTTATCAAACCCAGGGCTTCATTGATGCTAGAGAAACATCAACCACAACCCAGTCTTATTTTTGTCTTAATACCTGAATGATTATTTGTAGGCTCTCTCTCTCACACACACACACACACACACACACACACACTTTTTTTTTTTGTACAGTTTAGAAATTAAGTATGGTCCGTTAGTATTGTTTTCAGACATGTGTTGACTTACTTCGATAGTCCTGGCTGGATACCTATCACAGCAAGTAGAGTACTGGGTGACAGGCTCCTGGAACAGAACTCCCATGTTAGAAAAATTCACCATGGGGCGGAGAATTGCAGAAGTTGTGAACACAGCAGAAACACCTCTGGAAAAAGGACGATTTACCACTTTCAGAGAATGTACTACTAAGAAATTTTTAAACGGAGGAAAGTTTTCAATGAGGGGTTTTACGTACAGAACATACCCCTCAACATAGGAAGACAAAAAGCAAACCCCATAAAACAAGAAGGAAAACAATCCATAAGGCAGTGGTTACCAACTGTCAGAATCAATGCTGCAGCTACAGTATTTTAACTAGAGGGGAAAAATCAAGCACAAACATGGAGACCGGCTTTTATTTAATCAATGTAAGCATTTTTGTGCAAATAATTCAATAATGAGAGAGTACTCATACTCCTTTAGAGAGTATCTCATGTTTTGTTTCAAGTGCAACTATACACAAATAATGAACCACGAATTGAATTAAACCAACGGGAGGAAGAAAATCTCCCTAGCCCTCTAGTCTCCATTCCTACTTGTTTATTCCTTTCTTTCTGTTTTTGTCTTGTTTTTTAATGTATGTGTGTGGTTTCCCTGCATGTACATCTTTGTGCTGTATACATGATTGGTCCCCGCAGAGGCCAGAAGAGGGCGCTGGATTCCCTGGACAGGAGTTGCAGATGGTTGTCAGTCACCATGTGGGTGCTAGGAATCAAACCTCTGGAAGAGTAGCCAATGCTCTTAATCACTGAGCCATCTCTCCAGGCCCCATTTCTGACTATTTCTGTGGGAAATATTTCATGAGACCTTAAGTGGGCGGCCTGTGAGAAGACATACTGTCAGCAGGGCTGATGTGAACTAGCTCTTTAGCTCCAGACAGGGACTTTGGGCTTGCGGGGTTCCCTTCCTGCAGAATGCCAGTCCTATTTCCTTTGCCTCAATCCAGACCTTTTCAGATGAAAAGCCACTCAGTAGCTACTGACCATTTAAGAGCAAAATGAAAAAAAAAAAAAAATAGAAAGATGGTTTTCTCAAAAAGCTAACCCAGGGATGTTGACTGGCAGCAACTTCTCTGAGCCTCCTGCTCCAGGCACTGTGGGAGAATCACCAAGGGACAGCGATGACAGAAAGCTTTGGGAGACTTAGGGGTTTGCCTGTATTTACCTTCCGCCAACAAGGTGAGGACATGGTAACAGAGGCAGCCCATTTTTTCAGCTTTATAGAGGAGAGTAGAAACACGCCTTACTGAGAGTGCCCTCTCGTCTTGGAGCAATTCAATCAGTTCTGCTTCTGCAGCAAGAAGACCCTCTTATAGATCATGTCCACAGTCATCAGTTTAATGTTTAAAATTCCTGGAAAGGCAAAGGCTTGGTGGCAGGTTCATTCTGAGAAAGAAAATGTCCTGGATTACTCATCTAAGGGTGAGGCTTAGCTTGGGCCGGACCCTGAGAGCATGGCAGCTAGGAAGTAGGAAAGAATTTTATCTTGTCCCTGCAGAGCTTGCCTTTGCCTCAGGAACACAGGCTCTAAGCTCCTGGAGTGTATGCCTAATCGGAGCGTTGGAGGCTCAGAAGCCTAGCCAGTACGATATAGGATGAGCAACTTAAGCCTTACCTAAAGCTGATACAGGCTTGGAGTTTGTAGTTACATGGCATCAGCTCAACTCTTGAGGGAGTGAAAAACATCATCTGGGCAGTCAATGGCACCCACATGATGGACCCCCAACAAAAACCCTGCACACCAATGCTCAGGTAAGTCCTGGTCGATGACCTCTCTCTCACTCTTTCACTTTCTCTCTCTCTCTCTCTCTCTGTGTGTGTGTGTGTGTGTGTGTGTATGTGTGTATGTGTGAAGTGCACAGACATATAAAAATGGTATAGTTACAGAGGCTCCAGCATATGGGCAAAAATGAATGACCCAGGCACTGGCACCTGGGAGGAGGCATGACACCTAACAAGTCAGTTAGTTAATAGCATGTCCTGGCTAGTGTTGACACAAGCTAGAGTCATCTAAAAGGAGCAAATGCCTCCATAACTTCTAACTGTAGAGCATTTTTTAAATTACTGCTTGATGGGAGAGGGCCCAGCCCATTGTGGGTGGTGTCATCCTTGGTCTGGTGGTTCTGGGTTCTGGTTGAACAAGCCATGGGAGGAATCCAGGAAGCAGCACCCCTTATGGAAATTCAAGGCATGAGACCCTGCCTCAGGAAAACATAAGTCAGGCATGGTGGCTTTTGCTTTTTATCCCAGAACTGAGGAGGCAGAGGCAGGCATATTTCTCTTTGAGTTCAAAGCCAGCCATAGCTACACTGAATACCCTGTCTCCAAAACACACAGCCAAACAAACAAACCAAAATAATTAATAAAAAATGACATGGTTCCTAGGTTAAGAGCACTGTCTGTTCTTCCAAAGGTCCTGAGTTTAAATCCCAGCAAACACATGGTGGCTCATAACCATCTGTAATAAGATCTGGTGCCCTCTTCTGGCATGTAGGCATATATGCAGGCAGAATCTTGTATAATAAACAAATCTTTGAAAACAAAACAAAACAATAACTACAAAATTACCAAACATGACTTTCTTCCCATGAGGCTGACCTTAAATTCAATTAGAAAGTCGTTGGTTGTATCAGCCATGCCATTTTGCCTATCGTGCTGGTAAGTGTAATATACAGGATCCATAGCTGAGCAGAACGGTTCTCCCCCAATTAGCCATGTATTGCCTTTTTGGCTACAAAAGTCTGCCATCAAGGAAGAGACTTTCAGCTTGGTTCTAGCTTGACTTCTCCATGGCCTGCAACAAAAGAACGCAGTCTCTTGAGCACTACCTACGTTCCTTCTAGCTCTGGCATGTAACCAACAGCACTGGCAATAGCCTTTACAGTTTGTAGGACTCAGGGGCCTCCCTGGTCATCAGCTCATAGGGAAGTAGTCCAGCCCAGCACTGGAATTCTTGCCTAACATCTTTATGGCTGTTCCTGTGATTTCCTTTTCTGCCCACATAAGAATGCCTTCATCGAAGCTCTGTAATTGCTGGGCTTGTTGTTGTTCTAAATATATTTCCAAATCTGTAGAACTCTCAAGGTTTAGCAACATACAATGAAACTTTTTTATAGGAAGCATTTCTGAAAGTCTACTGCCATCTATTATAACCAAATGTCAATTGGTCTTGGATAATAAAGGGAATACTGAAAAGGAAACATTCCTAAAGTCTAGTGTAGAATGAAAAGATCTCTCTCTTGGAGGCTGGAGATATGGGTCATTTAATTCAAAGCACTTACATGCTTGCAGAGGACCTGGGTTTAATTCCCAGCACTGACATGACAGCTCACAACTGTCTGGAATTTCAGTTCCATTTGATCTGATGCACCCATCTTAGATCTGTGGGCATTGCACAGATGTGGTAGACATCTACGCAAACAAAACACCCATACACACAAAATTTTAAAAAATTCTTAAAAAAAAAATGAGATCTCTTCATTCTGTCATCACTTGTCAAAAGAGCAATGTTAGGTACAGCAGCATGGATGAAGGGATACTCAGCCTCATTCTCACATGCTGTCTTGAGACCATTACACATCTTCCCACTTACAATCGCTTCAACAGGACTGGCTCAGTCCAGGACCAGGATCATGATAGACGAGGGCCCAGCTGTCCCTTCTCTGTCTGTTACTGGAGCCAGCTACCTGGTTCTGACAGGTCACAGCCCAGGACCATGGCTTTTGCTTCTCTGTCAGCCACCTCTGGCCTGGCTGCTAAAGGGGCCTAGGTCTGGGCGTACAATTTTCACCCCCAGGACATTTTCTTTCAGGAAAGAAATATACACCGCATATGTAACCCAGAGGTTACATTTAATCTTTTGCACCTGTACTGTTCTATTTTCTACTCCCCCCCCCCCCACCTTTAGTAAACTTCCATTCTGGCTCTGAAGCATTCCAGAGGCGGCTGAGCACAGAACTTTTTGTCAAACCTTTACCTCGGAATTCTGCCTTGACAGAAATCATGCCCCTTGTTCTTTCGAGTGACATTGACAGGCCCCTTTTACCTGCTTTTCTTTGTCTTCATCCACTCCTAAATGTCTTAGTCCTTCAGGATAAACTCAATCTGAATGCTGGTCTAAATCACATAGACTCTTGAAGCCTCTCCTTTGACATAAAGATCCCATCCCGCCATGGGGCCCAGCCAAACCACTAAGGCCCCATCCCAATCCCAAGGTCCCTGCAGAAATAACTTCTTTCTCAGCTCTCCTGTGAACACAGTCCTGGCCTCCTCTGCATGTGGGACCATGGGTTTCTCCATCCTCTGTATGAAAGTTGTTCCTGGAGAAGTATTACCTGTCCCTTCAACCCTGCTTTCTCTACACACTGATTCTTCCCATCTTTGGATCCGAGGAAGGGCTCTTCAGTATAGATTCTAACACGTACCCTCTTCCCCTTATACACCACCAGCTGTACGACATGGCAAGGCAACACCTTCATCTCATCTACTCTTTTTTTTTTCTCTGTTTTTCCTACCAAATCAGACTAGAATGTGTAATGCTACCCATATGGCTCTTTCTCTTTGGAAGTCGTCCCGTATTTTCTAGGCAGACAGCTCAGCCACAGTTGCATCTTTTGAGTGACCCTTGGCAGTGGCCACACAGTCGCTGCCACAGCTGAGAATGAGAGCCCCGTACAGGCTATTTCAGGGATGCAAATATGCTCTATAGTCCCATCGGCTGTTTGGAAGATACCCCCGGACTCAAATGGTAGGCCCCGTTCATCAAGGAGGCATGTCAGCCCACAACACCTAGGGGACGACAGCCAGCCACCCTGTGATTCCGCACAGGGATGTTCCACCCTTAGCTCAGTCTTGGTGAGGTTATGTTTGTTTGTTTGTCTGTTTTTTTGAGACAGGGTCTCTCTGTGTAGCCCTGGCTGCCCTGGAACTAGCTCTGTAGACCAGGACGGCCTCAAACTCACAGAGATGCGCCTGCCTCTGCCTCCCTGGCTCTGGAATGTAAAGGTGCGCACCACGACTGCCTGGCTTTGGTGAGATATTTTATTCCTCAGATAGCAGGGAGCATGGGGTTGCTTCTCCTTGACACATGCTAAGGTCCTTGTTTAGGTGCCACTTGTGTGGCCCGACTTTCCCCAGAGAGATGCAATCAGTGTCTCTTTGCCCAGATAGGGCATCAGTGACAGACAAAAGGAAACTTATCTAAAAGCCCATTTTCCTCGTTACACCAACCAGTTTGCCATGGTTACCTACAGGAGCGTGATTGAAGGGGTCGCTTACAGGAAGATGGGGGACTCGGGAACCTGCATCACTGAGAAGTCTTCCTCAGCACAGGTAAGGAGAGCTGCATCCCAGACCTCGTCAGACCGCTAGAAGTCAGCTGCACAAAGGCACCTCCTGTCCCATAGTAATTGAAAACTGATTTAACCTCGAGAAGTAGCTAGCTTCATGAGTCTTGCAAGGTTTGTAGGTCTCCTGAGTCTTGTGGGCCACTTCAACTTACCGGGATTCTTTGCCACAAAACGTAACAAAGACTGCTCTCACCTTAAAGAGGATGTGATGATTTTTCTAGAGCCAAAGTCGAGCGGCCATGGAACACAGACTTAGTTTACTCCAAATACTGTGTTCAGATATGGAAGCGAGAGACTAGGAGTCAGAGCCTGGCCTCTAGACAGAGAGGGAGAGGAGACATGGATAAGTAGGAAAGGTGGCAGATTTCCAGGATAACAGGCTTCTTCCTCAGTCGGGTCTAGCCACTCATCCTTAGTAAGCATATTAAAGGAGCCTGTTTAAAGGTGGGATTCAGAGCTGGGGTCGGTGGTGGTAGCACCTTTAATCCCAGCATTTGGGGAGGCTGAGGCAGGCAGATCTCTGTGAGTTCAAGGCCTGCCTAGTCTACAAATCCAGTCCAGGACAGTCAAAGCTAAACAGAGAAACCTTGTCTCAAAAAACCAAACCAACCAGCCAAAGAAACAAAGAAAGTGGAAAATATAGCCATATTAGGGAGAAGGGCAAGGATCCAGTGACCTCCTCCTTTCCTGCCTCAAGTCTGTACTAAAATGAGATCACAGTTTAAACAGAGAGCTGAGGATATGCACATCTAAGCAGTAGTAGTCTTGGCAGTGGTCCTGTCGGCAATGACGCATCATTTTTCTGGGCTTCAGTGTCATCTTGTAAGATGTTCTGACAAACTGTTGGAACTGTGACAAGCAAATGGCTTCCCAGGAGACAAGTTGTTCCTCTGGCTGGGACCTAATCTTTCTCCCTTCATGAGATTCCTGGGGAGAGCCGCCTTTCTTTGAGCTCCACTGTTTGAATAGACTGATAGTCAGATTGAGAGACACAAAGTGTCTCTTTAAAGTATCTTTATTTCTGCCAGGCCTGTTACAGAAACTTACCCTACTGTGCATTAGGACAGTTTTGAGGGGCCGCACTTTGTAAGAGGAGATGAGGTCCATGAGGGGTCTGTGGTCATGAGTGGATTATTGTTCCTGAGGAGCGGGTTAGGTATTGAAGAGCCAGGCTTAAACCTGGCTTAAAACCATCTTATAGTAAGGACAAACTAGGTTCATGTCTATCTATAATTAAACCTCTGTTTCTCGAGGATCGGGAAATGCCCACCTGTAATCTTAACTACAAATGGCTCCAGGGATGGCAATCATGTCTTTTATAACCATCTGCCTCATTATATACAATACAGGGTAAAATGAAAGGGGGAAAATCTTCCTTACTGAGAAAGAGGGGGAGAGGACAGAGTCATGCGTTCATCAGGAACCCACTCCTAAGAAGAACACATGAGCTTGCCCCTCTCTTTCTTTCTCATTAAGGAGGATACACTTTTTTCTTTCTTTCATTTTACTCTGGGCAGTAAAATGGGCTTCCTTTGATTTTTGGATTAACCAACCTCCAGAACTGTAAGTCTCTAGTTTGTTTTCCAAATAAACTCTTGAGTCTTGAATATTCTGTTTTAGCATCACAAAAATTGACCATAGTTAATGCTCCCATTCTTCTCTATTGTACCTCATGATTTTGACTCACAATTCACAAACCTACAAGCAATAGTCCTTCAATATGTTGCTGCTGTAGTTATTTTAAATAAAGTGCATGCATCCACATGCTTATTGCTATGATGCATGGCAACCATGGTTGGCCTATGCCAAGGCACGTCCCTGAGTAATTACATCAGGCAACAGATCTGGTGTAAGGAGGTTTATTGGGAGAAGGGGGGAGTGAGGGCCTGGACAAGGAGTTGGGGTAGAGGTAGCCAGTGAGCCATGAGGACAGGAAGAGACAGAGAGAGAAAACTCACTCTCTCAGGGAGGGAAGAGGGAGAGAGAGAGAGAGAGAGAGAGAGAGAGAGAGAGAGAGAAAATGTGGGGACAGAGAGAGAAAAGGGCTCTTTGGCTCTGAGGCCAAAGAGAAAGAGAGAATGGAGGAGGAGGAGGAAGAGGAGAGAGAAGAGAGAAAGAGAATGCAGGAACAGAGTGAGAAACTGAGGTGGCATGTGGTCCTTTTATTAGGGACTCACTTGGGGGCTGCAGATGATGATTAAGAGGTTGCTAGGTCCCCGAGGACAGGCCAGCTGAATGGCCTGGAGCTAACGCTTTTATTACCTAGCTTCCCCCATACAGATAGAACGTAAACACTGCCAGCATAGGAATTGGAATCGTCATACCCCCTCCGTAGTGCCAAAACCCCCAAAGCGTGTACTCCAAAGAGTGTGACTTTGTTTGTTGAATGAGCCAGTGAAAGCTGCTAGGGCAAACCGTTTTTCTCCCTGGGGAACAAAGTGTTAAGGATCAGTGAGTGTGGAAAGCCTTGGAGGCTTGCGCATTTCCTAAGTGCTCAAAGGCTGGTGGGCGGAGATTTCAACCTGGCCCGAAGGACTGTAATCTTTGATTTAACAGCTTCTTTCCCGAGTGCTTGGAGGTGAGATCCCTGAAGAATAAGGTGAGTGTGTGTGTGTGTGTGTGTGTGTGTGTGTGTGTGTGTGTGTGTGTGTGAATAGTTCCGCTGACTAGTTAAACTATTTTGCTAACGCTACGGCTTATAATCAGCGATTCTGTGATTTGGTGTTCATTACTTCAAAGCTTGTGTAGGGCAGATTAAAGGCATACATTTTTCTGCATAGTAGATAAGTGGTTGGTACGGTTCAGAGGTCTTCACGGAGTTAGTTTTCTCTGCCAATTAAATAATTAAAAGGCAGGGGAAATCTCGACCGCAACAGGTGGCTTGGGAAGAAATCTCAAAGGCCGCAAACGGGAGCAGAGAGGATCATCGGTTGAAGAAAGGCATTCACTGGGGATAAGGAGTCACATGGAGAAAAGGCTTCTGCAGCACAGAAGCCGAAACAGCCAGTCTCTTCTCAAGGCCTGGGCTTTTTTAAGTCCCTGAAGAGTTTTTCTCCGCTAATTTAAGGCTGGTCAGTTTGAAGAAAGCATGCTTTTCTGGCTTGCAGCTGTTGTGTGAACTAGTCCTAATCCAGCCTAGAACCTGTTAAAAGTCTCCAAGGCCATTGTTTTAAGGGGCCAGGAGGCTGTAGAAGAAGCCAGCCATTTTGAAAGTTCATCATCTTTATCATGTATTCATGTCTGCTTACCTGAAAGTCTATCTAACTCCTAGTCTTTCATGATTCTAAAGAAAACAGCAAATGGACGCCTTTACAGGCTTGCATTGTCTGTCACAGCTTATGTACAACTGGGCACACTTATTAACTCTAACTTAAAAAATAAGTATGTAAGATTTAAGTGGGGCTTAACTGACTGCTTAACATAAGGTGCAAAGCAGATTTTGAAAATATATATTAGTATTCGAGCCATCACACATATATATTGAAGATTTATTTATTAATTATGTATATAGTGTTCTGCTTGCATATATGCCTGCACAACAGAAGAGGGTACTAGATCTCATTATAGATGATCATGAGCCACCATGTGGTTGCTGGGAATTGAACTCAGGACTTCTGGAAGAGCCGGCAATGCTCTTAACCTCTGAGCCATCTCTCCAGCCCTCATATATATATGAGGAGTTTTATTTTTTTTTCTTCCTAGGAAAGCCTCAAGTATTGTTTTTAACTTACTGAAAAACGAGGTAGACACCAGCTATAGCATGCCTTGATGCTTCAACAGTAAATTTTTTTTTTTTCTGCATCTATGTATCTGTTCCATGTGTTTGGAAGATTTAACCCAAATGATCAAACACTGAGGTTTTCTTCCTGGTCCTACTCGTTCACTGAGCTGTGCTATGCTGAGACACTGGGGCTCTTGAAGCAAGCTCTGATTAGGTTTTTGTTTGGGTTTGTTTCTCAGACTTGCCCAAGCCTTTAAATATCACATGACAGCACACTTCATTTAGTCTTGAGTAGCTTCAAGGACCTAGGTAGCTAAGAGTCTCTTTCCTGACTTTACATTTTGCATCTAAGCCAGCGTGTAAGCCCTTGGCATTTTGTGAACATAAACCGATCCAATTAATTGATAAGCAGTTTAGTTTCTGAGTATGAAAGATGGGAGAAGATACTTAATACAAACACCTGGGTCCCTCAGGAGCTATGTGGCTGCAGTGAAAATACACAAAACTGATTGAGAGCTTCTTGGACGGGCTGGTTTCAGGCAGGAGCCTATGCTAGCTGGCGCAGTTGAACACAGAAATCTACCCAGATTCCACACTGGCCCAGTAGTTAGCTCATGGGAAGAATAGACAAGGGTTACTGGCTGACCCCACAGCAGGCTGATTGAATTTTCACTCTAGATTCAGTTTCCCAAACTTCATCTGGGCCAGGTCTCCTCACTTCTTTTCCTTTTTAAATTTGACTGTGTATGTGTGTGGGTGTTTTGTCTGTGCGTATATCCACGTGTGTGCAGTGCCTAAGGATTCCAGAAGAGGTCCTCTGGGGCTGGAGTTACCGACTGTTGTGAGCCACTATGTGGATGGACAATGAGAATGGAGCCCGGTCCTCTGAAAGAGCACCCAGCACTCTGAACAGTTGAGCCCTCTCTCCAGCCCCAGCCTCTGCTTTCCCAACAGGCACCTAGAAGAGACCACTGTATGGTGCTCTCAGAAGAACGCCGCCCACTTGTAACAGAAACAAGGCTGACTTCTTTTCTCACAAGCAAATCTTCAACAGAGAAGGGGAGTTTTTAGGTTACTGTGTTTATCAATTTGCCTATGCTGTCTCTCCTTTCAGCTCTTGAGCAGTAGAAACCAGAGCTGAGTGCGGGTCAACTGGCAGCCAGTTTCAAATGTTTGCATTTGAATGAAATCCAGGACAAACTGTTCTTTTGTTTCCTCCATCTCCAGGGTATAAAAGCAATATTTCTGCCGCACCTTTTCTTTCTTTGTTTTGTTTATTTATTCATTTTTCATTCTGACAATGTACTTTTAAGAAATGAGATAACTTGGGTTTACTTTTTGAAGGATAAACAAACTTGGTTTTCTACATTACCAATCTTTATACTAATTTTTATTGAATCAAGAAGAAAGGATTAGAGGCTTCTATACTGTCTGTAATGTTGGATAAATTTACATGTGCATATAATCTCATTCTTCATGAATTCAATTTTTTTTTTCTTTTTCTCCCCACAACTTGACACAAGCCAGGATCATCTGGGAATAGGAAATTTAAATTAAGAAAATATATCCATCAGATTGTTTGGCCTGTAGGCAAGTCTCTCTCTTCTTTTCTTTTTCTTTTTCTTTTCTTTTTTTTTTTTTTGAGACAGGGTTTCTCTGTGTAGTGCTATATAGATCAGGCTAGCCTCAAACTCACAGAGCTCCTCCTGTCTCTGTCTCCTGAGTGCTGGGATTAAAGGCATGTTTCACCACATCCAGTTGGGTCATTTTCTTGATTTATGGCTGATGGCTGATGGGAGGGGGGTGTCAGGGAGCAGCCCACTATGGGTGGTGTCACCCCTAGGCAAGTAGTCATGAATCCTTGCCCCAAAATTTCAGTTTTTGGTTTGTCGGTGCTCAAGTCTTGGTAACTGTTATAGTATCTCCTTGCTCATTGTTGATTCTGTCTGTCTGACTTTTGGTTAATCGGGTCGATGGTCTGGAGCTTGTTTAGCTTCTCAAGAATCAGCTCTTAGATTCACTGATTCTTTGTGTTTTCTTTGTTTCTATTTCATTCATTTTTGCTCTGATTTATTTCCTCCCATCTACTAGATTTCAGTTTGGTTTGTTCTTGTTTTTCCATGTTCTTGAGTTGTTTCATAGAGTCACTATTTTTGCTCTTTCTGATTTAAAAAGTAAATATTTATTTTCATTTAATGCATTTGAGCATTTGCCTGCATGTATGGAAGTGTACTGAATGCATACAGTGCTCAAGGCGGCCAGAAGAGGGCATCTGATATCTGGAATTACAGACAGTTGTGAGCTGCCATGTGGGCTCTTTCTGTGAACTGAACCAAAGTCCTCTTGGGGAACAGCCAGTGCTCATACATGCTGAGCCATCTCTCCAGCCTCTTCCTAACCTCCAGAGCATACCTTTTCCTTTTAGGACTGGCTTTAATGTGTCCCAGATATTTTGTTGTGCTTGTTTTAATTCATTTGACTTTATTTTTATAAATTTTCTCAGTAATTATTTCTTTGACCCAGCCATTGTTCATTAATGTGTGTGTGTGTGTGTGTGTGTGTGTGTGTGTGTTTTTAAGATTTATTTATTGTATGGGTGCTCTATCTGCATGTACACCTAGGTGCCAGAAGAGGGCGACAGATCCCAGTATAGATGGTTGTGAGCCACAATGTGGGTTTTTGGGAATTGAACACAGGACCTCTGGGAGTACAGACAGTGGTCTTAACTGTTGAGCCATCTCTCCAGTCCCAGTAATGTGGTTTTCAATCTCCAGGAGTTTGTATAATTATTAGGAATTCATTGATTTTAGGCTTTATTACATTGTGAATCAGGTAGAGTTCATGGAGTTATTTCAACTTTTCTAACTTTGTTAAAATTTATTTTGTGTCACAGTATATGACTTATTTCAGAAAAGATTCCATGAGATGCTGAGTAGAATATTAACATTTTGGTGTTTCGGTGGACATTCTGTAGATATCTAGTAGGTCCATTTGATGTATGGTGTCTGTTTAATTTCTGTCCAGATGACCTGTTTATTGGAGAAGGTGGGTGATTAACACTTTATGCTGCTAATAAACTGTAACTAATATTAAAAAAATACAAAAGAGAAAAAAAAACCCCACTTTATGCTATTTCCTAAACATGTTCTTTGGGGAGGGGGGCAGAGACAGGGTTTCTTAGTGCAACAGAGCCCTGGCTGTCCCGGAACTCACTCTGTAGACCAGGCTGGCCTTGAACACTCAAAGAGCCACCTATCTCTGCCTCCACCACCGCTGCCTGATTTAATGGATAACTTTAAAGACTGCTACTTCTGCTCAAGAAGTGGGATGTTGTTGACAGCCTAGAAACCCAAAGCCCTTCCTACCCCAGGCTGCTCACAAGAGCAGCCCCTTGTCCCGACTTTGTGCCTTTTCTGCCTAGCTTTACTTCCTGCGTGCGCATCCCCACACAGGAAATGTGCTTACCGTGTTTCATCACAGCTAAAAATGGAAACGAGGCATACAATGTGTACTAGTTTGTTTCTCAAATGTTTCTTTCACTGCTGCCCTTCAGGAAACTCAGAACCAGTCAGGAGTCATGGAAGCCAAACCCAAGCTCTACTACTTCTGTGGCAGGGGCAGGATGGAGTCCACCCGATGGCTGCTGGCTGCGGCTGGAGTGGAGGTTTGTTCCTGGTTGGGGGTGGCAGCTTAAGTCCCATCTCCTTCTTCCCCTTTCTGTCCAGATGTTTTCTTAGATAGAAGGGAGAGATTACAGTCATGATGTACATGGGACTTGGATGGGGTGCACTGAGGGCCTGGGGTATCCTGAAACTCCTAAGATGGAAAAGATCCGAAGGGAAGGTTAGCTCATTCCCTCCACTGGGACTCTAGGTTTCTCTGAGGCCGTTTAACCCCTGCCTCGGCACCTCACTTGTGGAATCCATGGCTGCCAGCTGGAGCTCTGGCCCAGATATAAGATTTGCCGACTGGCTTTCCCCTTAACTCCAAACTCTCCCAACCGACTTCATAGAGATGTTAGAATCGTTACGTCTCTCCCAGTCTGAATGCCATCTCTTCGGGAACAGGGGTTCGCTGCTGTTTTTGTTTCCCTCTTTTCCCTTTAGAGACGCCTCCCTAGTCTGTTTGTCTGTTCCACCAGGTCTCAAAATGCAAAGGACAAAGTCACCCTCACAAAAGCTTCAGGAACCCCAGCTGTAAATGACTATGGCCTTACCCGAGTAGAATCTTTGGATATTATCAGTCTCAAACATAAACTTAACTGGGCTTGCTATAAAGGAAAAATTATAAAACCAAAGAAGGAGAATAGAGGAAAAGAAAGAGGGAAAATCATTAGAAAAGTTTTGGGCAAAGATAAATTTGGAGGGATGGAAGAGCTAGTTGAGGCAAAGCAAAAGTGCGAAAACAGGGGCTTGGGAATCCGTAATATAGGTAAGCTGCTCAAAGGTCTTCTGGTCCCATTTCATCTCTTCAGACTCATCCAACCAGTAGCTCCCCCAGCCACATGCATCCCAGGATAGCTACGGATGCAGCCAACACATTACAAATGACAACGTCATGTCACAAGTCAGAAGGTCAGACACCCCTGAAAGCTAATCTCGAAATACCTGCCTCACCATGCTTGTGGATGGGAGATGAAAGTTCTGTGGTTCCCTTTTAGTTTTATTTATTCTGAAGACTATAAGGTGTTTCCAAAAGGTGCCGGAATCTCTCTCTCCCTGCTTCCTTTTCTTAAAGTTATAACAATGTCTCTCTATCCTTAATCTAGTTTGAAGAAGAATTTATCGAGACAAGAGAACAATATGAAAAGTTGCAAAAGGGTAAGCCTCGATTTATTCAATGCTGTCTTATTGGAAACAATAAAACATGTTTCTAGAAATACTCAGCATATAGGTTTCAGGAATGGCAGCTTCTAGAAGAGGCCGGCACCAACATTCCTACAAACACTGGCTGCTTAATCCCTGTCTTCCTGAAGCAAAGCTGACGTATCAACTATGTGATCTCTGTAGTCTTCCTACATGTCAAGTATCTGCCTGCACTGGCCTCCATCAATACAATGGCGTGGTTGCTTATCTCTGGGTGGCTCAGCACCAAACTCCCTTTAAGAACTCTTCAGATTGTCTTGGTGGCTAGGGGCAGGGTAAGGAGAATAGCCCCTACTTTTTAATATTTTATACCTATTTTTCTAGGTGTTTTTAACGATGGCACACAGAATAGAATTGAGGCTAAACCATATCCATTTTTTTCTACTTTTAAAATTTATTCTTTGAAAATTCCATTCATCTCTCTATATAAATTTTTTTGATTGCCCTCCTCCAACACCCTCTCTTCCTCCTGCTGAATGCTTTCTCCTTCCCGGCAAGCCATCTTCCCACTTTTATGTCTTTCTGGATCTAGTTAGAACGGTTTTTATGAGCCTGGTTGGGGGGTTATTTACCGGGGCATCTGCAGCTTACAAGTAGCTATCAGCTATCAATGGCTCCTCAGGGAAGAGGGCCCTAGAGCCCCTCCTCTATCCACGATGAAGTGTTGATGGGCCCAGTCTTCAGCCAGTCACAGGAACCACGGCTGTTATGATTTCCTGAGGGTAATGACCCAGAGATTTCCATTTCATGGCATGCCTTCCTATCCTCCCACTCTCACATTCATGCTGACCCCTCTCTCAGGATGCTGCCTGAAGTCTTGGTGACTGCTGGGCGCCAGTCACTTTCTCAGCTCTTAGGCCACGAATGAGCTTCTGCGTTATCTGCTACCCACAACAAAATGTAACTTTTTTTTTTTTTTTTTGATGAAGGTTTGGCTGCACCACTACTCTGCGAGCCTAACTCTAAATATTTAGGAGGTAGCTGGACAACATGCCCATTTAGGAAGCCAGAATAGTAGATACTCCCTTGACTAGTTATGACCTCCTCAGCCATAGGCCTTGGGCCAAGTTACAGCACGAACCCTTCCTTCTACAAGGGGTCTACAATTCAACCAGAAAGATTATCCCCATAACAGTCCCACCGCTACTGCACCAGTTAGCACATTTTGCCGGCCAGATCGGTATTGCAGCATGCATGGTCTACAGCTGGTGAGAACCCTGTTGAGTTTTGACCCTGAGTAGCCTACATGTGTTACAACACGATGGAAGCGAGCCACAGGGATACAATTTCCAGGCCAGTTCAGACTTTATTTCTCCAGGTCCTGAAACCAAAGTGAGTAGAGTCTTATTGTCTAGTGCTGTTGGGAAACCAAGCGCAACACAATAGCTTGCATTATTTGGAGGCTCCTGGGACCTCACAAACCAGTGACTCACAAGGGGGCACTCCGGTACCTGGTGCAGGGATTTTTGTTTAATAACCCACGGCTTCTGGGAACAACATTCAGTGTATCTTGGTTCCTACTCTCTCTCTTTTAAACAATCTTTTTAATTAGATCGCTAGGTTTCCATACGGCTTTTTCATATCTCCTAAGTTTTGGTTCACGCTTCTCCTTCCTCCTCTCCACGGCTGGATGTTGACAGGCCCAGTCTTGTGCAGGCTTAATTCAGGCAGTCTCAGCTGCTGAGTCGGTGATTATAGCAGCCATACTATGCCCGGAACATATCACAGCATATCCACTTCCCCATCATTTGGTCCTTGTGTTCTTCCCTCTCTTCTGTGATGTTTCCTGAGCCCTGTATCATCTGCATTCTATTCCCATCCCAAGACCTCTTGATTCCCCTCTCATCCCTTTGTAGCTTCCTTGCTTTTACAGTTGCTCCAAGTTAAGCATTAAACACATACATCTAAAAATTTGAGGTTGGGATCCACATATAAGAAAGAATGGGTGACATTTGTCTTCTGGACCTGGGTTACCTCCCTCAGCATAGTATTTTCCAGTTCTATCCATTTTCCTCCAAATGTTATGCTTTTCCTTTTCCTTAGCGCTGAGTGGGATTCCACTGTGGATATGCACCGCATTTTCATACTCTATTCACTAGCTGATGACATCTTGGCTGGTTTTGTTCCCAGCTACTGTGAACAGAGTAACAATGAACATAGATGTGCAAGTATTTCTGTAGTAGGAGATAAAGTATTACTAATGTAGTCCAGGCTATCCCTGAACCTGCTATCCTCCTGCCTTGACATCTTGGGTGTGGACCATCATGCCTGGCTTAGTTGATTTTTGACCAAAGAAAAAGAGCAATTACTATGAAAACTTTCTCACACCGATGGGAAAGAGCAGTGCTTCGGCAGCATTGCTGAGACTCCCAAGAGCCTAAATGCCACTGTCACTGTCATTGCCTAAAGGCCACATCATCCCCACTGTTGCTGTTCAACAGTTCAACAGTCATGACATTGCAAATGAGTTTAAGAAGGGCATAAACTGTCACAAATGAAATTGGACAGCTTTGGACAAGATTTTAACTTGTCTGCCTCCTTGTTTCCTTTCTGTAAGATGAAAATAATCCCTGTGTCGAGAGCTTACAATGTGTCAGTAGGTCTCCCTGAAGCGGAAAGCCATGACCATCCTTTCCCCATTGCCTTTGCAGGGACTTGGTTTTCTGAAATTCCTTCTTCTCTTCGATTCTGCCTCACTTCACTCCAAGGCTCATGGTGTGTGTGCTTATGGATACACATGCTCACACGAGCAAGTGATTGTAGCTCCATGGCCCTTTCTACGAGCATCTCTCGGGCGGTGTTCCCAAACAGCCCCTACGGTGCTCCAGCCCTCCCTGTGATGTTTCTATTGCAGTGGGGATGGCCTCCTGGGCCCCACTATTCTGAGCAGGAGACAGCAGAGAAGCCTGAACAAAGTCAGAAGGATCACTTATTAGCTTAGCTGTTCTGAGACCTGTGAGTTTGGTAGGTTACACTCACTTCCCTCTGAGGTGCCGTCTGTAAGAGAAAATAGTTAAACTAAGAAATGTCAGTGATCTTTTCCTGCTTTTTTGATCTGGACATTGTTTCTAACTGGATCCTATTGCTCATGAAGGCGCACAGTGCCCAGCACGAAGCTATGCATTAAGTGTTGAATGAATATGGAAACCTGTAAGTCTCCTGTCCATCCTAATTCTGATATTTGCAAAGAATGGCTACAAAGTCATCTACTTAGTGAAACTACGTAAATAGCTAGACACTGTTACACATCAGAAAGCAGACTCAGAGACTTGCTTAACACATCTGGGGAGAGGGGACACCGGCCCCTGGAAAGCTGTCACTGTCCTTACAATGGTGTTTACCGTCTCCCAGTGCCATTGCATCAAGTGAGCAGCGTTAATTCTCAGAGAAGTCGTTGGGCATGGTGGAGGATGTCTTTAATCCCAGCACTTGGAAGGCAGAGGCAGGCGGATGTCTGACTTTGAGGCCAGCCTGGTCTCTATAACAAGTTCCAGGACAGCCAGAGCTACACAGAGAAACCCTGCCGAAAACAAAGAAAGAGATCAGAGAAGTCCTATGGCCATTACAATGCACTAGTGAAGTGTGGTTCCCCGCTTAGGCAAAGTTTCTTACTCATGAGGACAATGTGTAGGTATTAATGGAAGTTAAAGATCTATTTATTCCCTTCTTCATAAGGAGGGCATCATGTTTGTCTTCACAAATGTAATCACAGGTTACACAATGACCTTTGGTCAACAATGGACTACGTACACGAATTATGTTCTCATAATATTATTTTGCCTGGTGACTCTAGAGAAATCTTAGTTTGTGTGAGAATATTCTACAGTGTCCTGTCCTCACAAGGACAAAGTTACCTAACAAGGAAGCCTCAGCATGTCTTCCTGCTGTTAAGCAATGATAAACAGTAGTTACTGTAGCAAGTCACCGATGAAAACTTGGTTTTGATTCACCTTGATTATTGGCATTGTTTTATAGCGGTTACTTCCTGTCCTGCATTCAAAATCCTGCTAAATAGATACTATCGTTAGAGACTGGATACAGAAACTCAGATGAGTAACTTGTTTAAGCGTCTGTGGCTAGAATGTATTGAGAGTGATACTGAGCTCAGGACTGTTGTTGTGTCCTTCCTGCTGTTGTGTGTGCCTGTAGCAATAAATGGTTTGGTTTTAAGAGAAAGCTTTCTCTCAGACTTTAGTCCCAACTCAGAATATCCGAGGGCAAGGAATTTTCAGCAACCTTTTATGCCCAGATACCCAAAGACTTTTAAGTTTTGAGAACCAGAAATGCTAGCTGTATGTATGTCTATATTAGAGTAAATACAGAAAAATCTTTTAAAATTTGCTGTTGTTCAATAAACAATAATGTGTGAAGAAATCAAACAAAGCTCCCGCTTGACATGAAACAAATGAGTGGCATTTCCTTATCTACTGGGACAGGTCATTTATCACTTTAAACTGAAAACTAAAAACCACCCCTGGAGTAGTTGAGTCATCCTGTAGGTGAATTGCAACCATTGAGACCATTGAAGATGAGTATCTTACCCCCACCCCCCATCACACAGATGGATGCCTGCTTTTTGACCAAGTACCTTTGGTTGAAATTGATGGGATGATGCTGACACAGACGAAAGCCATCCACAGCTACCTCGCTGCCAAGTACAACTTGTACGGGAAAGACCTGAAGGAGAGAGTCAGGTACCTTGGTGTTCATTCCAGTACTAGATTTTTAACCGAGCTTCTGGGGTCATAAATCAGCTGAAACCTGATTTGGTTGCATCTTTCAATAGGAACCGAGGTTGGAGGGTAAGGGACCACAGGGCAGGAGGGCTGTCGCTGGAGGTGGTGTGGCTTGTGCCGAGAACATATTCTGCACTCTCTCTCTTTTTTTTATATAATTCATACTAGTCAGCTTATAGTGTTTTCATACTCATGCCTAGCAAACTGTGTTCTCTGAAAATGACGTGTTTTATATGAAGGTGCAAATGGCTGATTCAGCAAACAGGCCTTGAACATTGTATCAATGATCTATTTTTGCAGTCACCTTGAAACAGATTTCAGTCAGCAAGCATTTGTCTATGGGTTTCTGGGTAGCCTCCATCTGACTGAAGCTAACCCAGCAAGACTCACCCATATGTCTGCCAACCAGTAGTTAGCCAGAGACTTCTGGGTTTGGGTATTGTCTGATTGTCAGTTTGGGGAGGAAGAGGCCATATATGTCTCATCTTGTCATTGTAATCTTCTCATGACATGTAGACAGATATCTAAGAGTGAAAGAATGTAAGTAGTATAAGCTTTGAATCCAGAACTAATCCTCACATTATTCATTAGTCACTCACAAGGGCAGCCTGGGAACAAGACCTCAGAGATGGAAATCACAAATACTGGAGGGGGAAAGCTAGTTTTTTGTTTGTTTTGTTTTTGTTTGTTTGTTGGCATCTCTATGCCATAGATATCTGCTCTGTTATACTGTGCTGACCCTAGCTAGGGCTAGTTAGATTATTAAACCAAATAGTTTAGTTTCATGTAAATAAATACAGTGTAAAGATGTATTTATGTATTATTTACACAGTATTCTGCCTGCATGTGTGCCTGTGTACCAGAAGAGGGCACCAGATCTCACTATGGATGGTTATGAGCCACCATGTGGTTGCTGGGGATTGAACTCAGGACCTTTGCAAGAACAGCCTGTGTTCTTAACTTCTGAGCCATCTCTCCAGAGCCCCCCCCGCCCCCCAAAAAAGAAGACTTTTACTTATACAATTTAATCTTTGTTTGGGGTTAAGGACAGGGCCCCTAAGAGCTCACCCTGGCAAACATGACCATGACAGAGTGCCAGGGCATATTGAAGATGGGGTCGTAGAAAGCCCCAAGTTCCAGTATTTAAAAAACAGAGGAAGCGTCACATGGAAACGAGCAAAGCTTAGAAGCACAGCAGCCTATTTCTACAGTGTCACACTGTCCCCATTAAAGCGGATGGCAGAAACAATTCCACACGTTTCACTGTTTTGATATATGGTTTTTGTTTTTTTTGTGTGTGTTCTTTGTTTGTTTGTTTGTTTGTTTGTTTGTTTTTGGAGACAGGGTTTCTCTGTGTAGCCTGGTTGTCCTGGAACTCACTCTGTAGACCAGACTGGCCGAGAACTCACAGAGATCCACCTGCTTCTGCTCCTGAGTGCTGGGATTAAAGGAGTGTACCACCACCTCCTGGTTTGATGTATACTTTTTATTAACTGCTAAATCTCTAAGTTTTCTATATTTACCAAACCATCACAATCCCACTCTGTTTATGGCAGATTTCAACATGGAGGCATTTATTGCCTTTCATACATTTGTTTATTCAAAAAATGTTTTCAGAGCCTATACTATTTCCCCTGGCTAGCTCTGGTTCTGGAAATCATTCCTGAGAGTGGCAGATTATCAGGATAATCAAATACCATTTGCCAACACTATGCCTCCTATCCTTGTTACACTAGGTTTCCTTTCTAATGTGAGTCTACGGTGTGTTTTCAGGATTGACATGTATGCTGATGGCACCCAGGACCTGATGTTAATGATTGCCCAGGCTCCATTTAAACCCCCTCAGGAAAAAGAGGAGAGCTATGCTTTTATAGTGAAGAGAGCTAAAACCCGTTACTTCCCTGCCTTTGAGAAGGTAAGCTTGCATATCTCCCGACAAGCAGAATGTCTGTAAGTCAGTGTTCAAAAAGATAGGGGAGATGGATACCAGTGGGCGAACACACAGGCTCAAGACAGAAAGCAAGTTCAATTTTGAGGACTCAGATGGTGGAAGGAGAGAGCCAACCCCTGCAAGTTATTCCGTGGCCTCCTCATGCGTACCAGGGCACATGCGTCTGCCCTACACATAGTCACACCACACAGAGCGGATAAACGTGTAAAGAGGCAGGCTGAGTCAGAGCTTTCCTGCTATAGGGTCTGTGGTGGTTTCAGAATGGCCACTATCCACTCACTTATTTGAATGCCTGGTCGCCAGTTTATGGAACTGTATGGGAAGGATTAGAAGGTATGGCCTTGTTGGGCAAGGTGTCACTGGGGTGGCCTTTGAGGTTTCAAAAGCCCCCACCATTCCTAGTGAGCTTGCTCTGCCTCATGCTTATCTTCAGATGGGTCTCATCCACCTCTCCAGCGCCATGCCCGCCTGCCTCTTGCCATGCTCCCCGCCATGATGGTCACAGACTCTAACACTAGGAAACTGTAAGCCCCAAATAAACTCTTCCTTCTGTAAGTTGCCTTAGTCACGAGGTCTCACAGGGATAGAAAAGTAACTAAAACAGGGTCAAAACTTAAAAAAAAAAAAAGAAAGAAAGAAAAAGTGTTTTATGGTTGTTGTTGTTGTTGTTTTTGTGTGAATGGGTGTTTTGCCTGCAGGTATGTCTGTATACCACATAAGAGCCTGGTCCCCATGAAGGCCAGAAGAGGTTATCTGATCCCCTGGAATTGGAGTTACAGGTGGTTGTAAGCCATTGTCTGGGTTCTGGGAATTGAACTCAGATACTTGGAAGAGCAAACAGTGCTCTTAGCCACTGAGCCATCTTTCCAACCACTTGGGTCAAACTTTAATACCATGGATTCCAGAAAAAGTTACAAGGAAAGTTATAGAACCTCTAATGAAATGATTTCTGTTCTGTTGTTTAAAGAATCAGCAAGCCATTATAACCCAAGGTGTCACCACCTTGAATTCCCTGCTTGGTACTGGAGGCTAACTATGCCTCAATAAAGAAGACAAAAGCTTTTAAATTGGAAGCTTCTGCTTTTGTGCAGCATGCATTGGAAAATGCTAATGAAAAATGTCCCCACAGCACATCTGGTCATGTTCCGAGCCTCCAGGGCAGCGTGTAGAATGGTAAGGAGGATCTATTAGTGCAGTTTAACAGCTATTGTACGACACTGAGTAAAGTCCAGGGCACAGTTCTTCCAGTCTTCTGGCGTTCCAGGTGAGAATTCTGTTGATGCAGGGAGAATTTGACTGTTACTGAAGCACCTTCCATTGAAAATGTCACACAGTTTATACTGCAGATTTTAAAACCAGGGAGTCTCTACCCTAGTACTTTCCAAAGCACTTTAAAATGATTCATTTATTCAAATGTGGGTCACACCTAAAGAGAAAACTGAAGCTGCATTTTTATCTGTTAGGTCCCCTTTCTTGTCTCTCCTCCTCTTCTTTTGTACTGCATTTTTATGTGGCTTCCTAGGCTGGATTTTACCCCACTGTTCCTGAAAGTCACGTAATTCAGAAGTTAGAATTTGAATCCTTTTCTGTTGTTTTGTTTTTCGAGACAGGGTTTCTCTGTTTTAGCTCTGGCTGTCCTGGAACTTGCTCTGTAGACCAGGCCAGCCTCGAGCTCACAAAGACCACCTGCCTCTGCCTCCTGAGTAGCACAGTTGTCTGATTATTGTTCTTTGCATTATGTTAATGCAATAGATCATGCCAACATATGCTGATTTATTAGCAGACGTGAAATGTTGTCACCTCTCTCTCTCTGAGATAGCTTCTCATACCATACCCTAGTCCAGCCCAATAGTTAACTCTGTAGTCCAGGCTGGCCATGGCCTCAGTCCTCCTGTCTTCTTCCAAGTGTGGGATTGCAGGTGTGAGTCACCACGCTTAGCCCTCTTCATTCATTATACAAAACATTCTCTACACAGAGAACCTCTCAAGCCACGTGTAGTAGGGAACTCCTGAATTCTGAGCACTTTGGAGATAAGACAGAAGAGGATCCGGAGTTCAAGACCAGCCTGGGCTTGTAGCAAGACAGAGACAGAGCACACAAACTATGACATAGTTCTGGAGTGTGGTTTGTATATAAGCAAGAGAGATAAATGCTTTGTTTTTTATTTAGTACTGAAAATAATTACTAGCATATTCAAAGAAGAACAGCGAGTGTGTTATTAGGATTATTTCAGTTTTAACCTATAAGTAACATCATGATTCTATTTTCTATCACAGAATTTTACATGTTTGTCTTAGTCAGTGTTCTCTTGCTGTGAAGAGATACCAGGACCATGGCAACTCTTATAAAGGAAAAGCATTTAATTGAGGCTTGCTTATAGGTTCAGAAGTTTAGTCCCCTTCATGTCAGGGAGCATGGTGGCATGCAGGTAGACACTGCGCTGGAGAAGTAGCTGAGAGTGCTACATCTGGATCCACAGGAAGCAGGAGGGGACTCTGGGCTCCACCCCCCAGTGACACACTTCCTCCAACAAGGCCACACCTCCTTTCAAACAGTGCCACTCCTTGGTGACCAAGCATTCAAATCTCTGAGCCTGTGAAGGCCATTCTTATTAAAACCACCACAATGTTTACTGTGTTAATTTGTTTGAAGACCTTATTCAGAAGTGTAGACTATAAACAGAAAGTATGACTATTCCTTATCACCAAAAGTTAAGTGTAAGAATTGGTTTCATGTATTTCTACCCAGTTTTTTAATATAAGTAAAGGCATTTTCTTTTCATTTATTTATTATTGTGGTTATATTGAAGTTATTTACCCACCATTTTTATTACGTAGAAGACATTCCAAAGCAGAATTTCTATGTAACAACTACCTTGTATTAACGAATGTCAATACTGCTACTTTCTCGCTTTTAACACCTTTTTCTTTTTATTAATTTTTTTTCAGATTTTTTAAAAAAAAATTGATTTTATGTATGGGTGTCTTGCCTGCATGCATGTCTATGTATCGTATGTGTGTCTGGTACTCACGGAAGCCCGAAGAGAGAGTCAGATCCCCTGGAACTGGAGTTACAAAAGGCGCATGTGCAGTTAATCACTGAACCACCTACCCAGACCCTTCCCCAAGTTCTTATATATATTACTCCCACTTTGTGGAGAAAACCACCTTTTATGTATTTGCTACTCAAGACTGTCTGTTATTTTTTTATATTTGCTTTCCACTAGGTACTGAAAATTCCCCTTTTTCAGGTTTGGCCTATTTTGACTTCTTTTGATTTGTGTCACAGCTTCCGATAACTTCTTTCGTGCTTTTCAAAATTGCCAGCACAAAGGCCTTGATAATCGCTGACGCGTCCCCAAAATGACTGAACCAGTTCCTGATGTGTGCAAGACTGTTTGTTGGCTTCCTCCTTTCTTGCCAGTGCTGGAGATCACCAAAAAAGACCCTTCAATGAACCCCACAGTACAAGTGTACAGATGGGAAAATCACCCTTGCCTCCACTTAAGTATGTTTTTCTCTTTTCTATAGATTTTAAAGAACCACGGGGAGGCTTTTCTTGTTGGCAACCAGCTCAGCTGGGCAGACATCCAGCTGCTAGAAGCCATTTTGATGGTGGAAGAACTCAACGATTCTGTGCTGTCCGACTTCCCTCTGCTGCAGGTAGGATGCTGGCCAAGCATGATTGCACAGGCCAGGGAGATGCAGCTGGAGCAGAAGCCTGTAATAATCCGTGTCTCCAAGACAAACATAAAACTCAAGAGAAACTGTCTCGCTCTGGCTATTTAGTCACTCACTTACACTATAGGGTCTGTTAGGGAATGACACTTTACGTGATGGGAAAACGGGTATTTGAGGTTCTAATATGAACACTTAAGGTATGTAGCTCACAGTTAGAGCATGAACAGCATGTATGAGGACCTAGATTCAGTCCCTGATGGTCGCAAACAAATAATGACCACTAGTTCCCCAGTGAGAAAGGTAGGGCCCCAAGAGCCCTCTACCATTCATGACTGACTGTTGATAGGGACAATCCTTTTTTTTTTTTTTTTTTTTTTTTTGAGAGATAGGGTCTCACTGTGTAGTATGGGTTGGCCTGGAACTCATTATAAAGGCCAGGCTGGCCTTGAACTCACAGACTTCCAGTTGAGTGTCCCTCCTGAGTGCTGGGACTAAGGCCAGGTGCTCTCTCTCATACTTGCATCATTTGCCTTTTATCTTTTAATATTATATCTTTTTTTTAAAAATGTGTGTAGGTGTTTACCTGTATGTAAATCTGTGCACTGTGTACCTTCAGTGCCCGAGAGAAGCCAGAGAGTGCCTTGGATTCCGGGGGACTAGAGTTGCAGATGGTTGTTAGTTGCTGTGTGGGTGCTGGGAACTGAAGACTGGTCCTCCCCGGAAGAGCAGCCGGTGCTCTTAACCTCTAGCCTGACTCTCCAAGCTTCAGCCATTTTTCCCTGTTTTGAAAACACAGGTCATTCACAAGCTGCCATTCTTCTAGCTGTTTCTGGTGGGTTTGTTTTTGTTTTGGGTTTGGGTGTGGTTTGGTTTTTTTTTTTTTTTTTTTTGAGACAGGGTTTCTTTGTGTAGCCCTGGCTGTCCTGGAATGGGATCTGTAGAGCAGGCTGGCCTCAAACTCAGAGATTGAGTGCCTGTGCCTGGGATTAAAGGCTTGTGCCACCACTGCCTGGCAGCTATTTCTGTGTTTAAAAGTGTGTGAGTGTGTATGTATATATATATATATATCTTCTAGGGTTATGCAAATATGACAACCATTTTGGAGATAACCACTGAAGCATGTTTAAAATGTCTAGATAAATTCTTGGCCTTCTCAGAGAATTTTGAAAAGAAGCTTTTTTGTAGCTCTACAAGTGACAGAAAGGTAGACCATGAGCTGAGGGGAGGGCAGAAGAGAGAGCCCAGGGAAGGCTCAGGAAAACCCGGTAATAAACAGAGGATCCTTTCAAAAACAAATGTTAATTACCCCTGGCCCAGCCTGAGGCTAAAAGAGAATCATTATTTTGTAATTTGGGGATCCAGGCTGAGCAGGCTGCCAGAGTGGAGACCAGTAGAGAACACTTGAAACTGCAGGTCAGAGAGCACTCAGCCTGCACCTCTCTCCCAAATCCTACACCATCCTGGGCTACCACAGAAATAACTTGAAGAAAAAGTCCGAGTCTTTTACTGTATGAATGTGTCGTCATTCCTTTGACTGTATTACTTTTGTGGCAGTTCTCAGAGTTAGCTATAGATAAAGAATATTCTCTTGAGCACTGTCAGCTCTTCCGGAGGATGCAGGTTAGGTTCCCAGCAGTCACGGTTACAGAGCTCACAACCATCTGTAATTCCAGTCTCAAGGGAATCCAGTGCCCTCTTCTGGCCTCTGCGGGAACTGCATGCATATGGTACAAGCCAGTAAAACACTCAAACATACAAAATAATGAAAGCATTCTTTTATTATAAATAAAGAGTCCTTTCTAAACCTAACAGATATAGTCAGAGACTAAAAAAACCAAATCCCTGAATTTAGAACATCAGCACAGAGAGCAAGGTGTTTCTAGAAGGTCTGGTGCTCCTGGGAGGGACTGGTGCTCCCTGGAGGATATGATGGTTCTTGAAGGCTAAGGTGCTCCTTGAGGAGAGAGGTGCTGCCCAGAGGCTATGGTGTTCCTTTGAAGCCCAGGTGTTCATCAGAGAGCATGATGCTTCTGTGAGGCTAGGGTGTTGCTGGAACGCCAGCTCCTGAAGGCTCCAGAGAGCACACTCAGCTGAGGCCACCAGCTGGCCCTTGCTAACGTGTTCCGCCACACTCTTTTTGCTGTTTTTTCTGCCCACGCCCTTTCATATTCCCTGTTAATAAATTCCTAAAAACAAGAGTTGATAAGCCAAAGAGTACAAATATTTAATATGTCCTGACCATGCCCTTTTAACAAGACATCTTAACTCATGCTAGGAAAAGCCAGCCAACACACTGACAGCCCACACCCTGGGCTTTAAAGCCGAAGGTCCAAACACCTCCTCTTATGACGATATTCTGAGTTTCTAACGGTTGTGGCAGCTGTTGAGGCTCTCACTTATTTCTCGTTTCAGGCATTCAAGACAAGAATCAGCAACATCCCCACCATCAAGAAGTTCCTGCAGCCTGGAAGTCAGAGGAAGCCGCCTCCAGATGCCCGCTATGTGGAGGTGGTCAGGACCGTCCTGAAGTTCTAGGTTTTAAGGTGGCCGAAGCAAGGATCCAGTCACAGCTTCACACAGGTCAGCTGCAGAACATTCCAGAAGCAAGGTGTAGATCCCAGGAGTAAGGGTCTCCAAAAGCCAAACCCACTCTGCCATCGATGCCGATTAAATACAGTGAAAAATTATTCTGGCTGGTGAGGTGTTTGTTTTGATTTAAGCTTGTCAGCGGTGGATGACAGTCTGTAAGTGTCATGAAACCAGAGTTCTTTATAAAGAAGTAGTAGACAGACATATTCAGGACACTGAGCTACATGGGGCAGTGTTCTTGGTGTTTGCATAAAGGTCAGGACCGTAACTTGGGAAAGTGGTGACTGAGGACTTGGGAACAGAGGATCACTTCAATACCTATACTGGTTTCTGGGAACTTGGGATTGGAAACACGGGCGAACAATACTGAGGATAGACATGCTGTCTAGTAAACCCTATGCTGATGTGAAAGCAGAAAGAATGTCTGAGACACCATTTTGAAACCCTTTTAAAGAAAGGCACCTTGGCCATCAGACAGCCCACTTTTACCTACCAGAGTCACTGAAGCTCAGGTTTTGTTTTGCCAAGATAATCCCAGAGACAAGTGGGGTCAACACGAAATAAGGAATAAGGACTAAGTTACTACTTCCTTATTCAAGTTGAACAAAAGCTCCCTCAGCCTCGATGTGCTTTAAGTGTAACTATTTTTTTTACGACAATTCTGTTTTTTTAAGATTTATTTCTTTATTATGTATACAGTGTTCTGCCTACATTCCAGAAGAGGGCACCAGATCTCATTATGGATGGTTAGGAGCCACCATGTGGTTTCTGGGAATTGAACTCAGGACCTCTGGAAGAGCATCCAGTGCTCTTAACCTCTGGGCCATCTCTCCAGCTCCCTAAGTGTAACTATTATGTTCCCAAGCCATACGTTAAAGCCAGCCCACACGCAGGCTTCATTTGATGGGAATAGAAGAGCTGGAGAGGTTGCCAGAGCAACTGTGACTTTTGGTGGCTTCTGATGTGAAGAAAGCTCCCGCCAGTTGTAGCAGAAGTTTTTGGTTTCTTTAAAAACTCAGTTGTATAAACACATTTTTGTTTTAAAACCAAGTGTGGGATATTGGGCTGCTTTAGTTTGTTCACAGCTGATAATTGCCTCATGTGGGGGGTGGCCTGTGCCAGCTAGTACAGCCTAGTGTGGCTTGGAGAGGGGCCTGGTCTTTGCCAGCCTGAGTTAGGGAATTCTGAGGACTCTGGGAGAGTATAAACACTGGAGCCCAGAGAGAGAAAAGAGAAGGCTTTGAGTAGATGGATGGAGGAGGAAGAAGGCTGCTTGTTCATCCTGCTGCGTTTGCTGTTGCTGGACTGCTAAAAATCCTGACAACTGAAATGGGTTTTCTCCCAAAGAACCCAATGATACCTAATCAGCCGGATGTAGCTAAAGAGAACATGTCCCCCTCTCCCTTCTAACCTTCTTTCTCTCCTACCTAGGGTTGGGGGGTTGGAATGGAGGTAGAGCATTAAGGAACCCCAAATAAAAAAGTTTAAAATGTAGCGCCTACAGCCAGCGGTTTGGGGAAGTTTGGTTGGGATCCTCCAAAATTCTTTTAGGACAATGTGTCTTTAAAACTACATTTACTTATTTATCATATCATATCTATCATCTATCTATGTATATCTATCTATCATCTATCTATCTATCTATCTATCTATCTATCTATCTATCTATCTATCATCTGTGTGCGTGTGCATATATGGATATGACATTTTGTGCATATGGAAACTGGGAATGACTTTTGTAAGTCACCCCAAGGATTGAATTGTTGTTGTTAGGCTTGTGGGCAATGACCTCAACCTGCTGAGTATCTTACCAGCCCCCTCTCCTGTCAATTTCTGATGTGTATCATGCATTTTCTTGTGAAATAACTTAATGATCTGGATTGTGTTCCATTCCCTTAGGGCCACCACAGAGCACAATTGCACTCATATTACCCCCTGCTCTACTCATTCCTCCTTTCTTCGGGGGATGGGCTGATGACCTGTGACAGCCAGGTCCCTCTGCATCCTCCATCCCTGGAACATGGGAACCTGAGCCCTTACCCCCATAAGGGCTGTAGTCATCAGCTTTGCTGTATGTAATGAGTACAGAGGGAATTAACATACCAAATTCATATCCCTTTCATCATCTTGTCGATACTTCCAACTACTGTAAGCCAGGGACCACCTATTCCTTTGAGTCTTTCTTTGTGGTTATCTTTGGCCCTGCGGACTGAATGTGAGTGGAGCCTCGCCCAAACTAGCAGCCATTGTGAGTTTCTAAGGAGAAGTGAGCCTCCGAAAACCCAATAGCATGAGGGAGGTTTTGAGGCCCCACTTTTATTCCTCCACTCTTAGAGTCTGGGTTTTGGACAGAGAAAGATGAATAAGGGACCTGGGTCAACATGATGATAGGAAAGAGGGCTTGGAGCTTAGGAGGCCCTTGGTTCTACTTGAAAAGGTACTGGGATGGCGATTCTGTCACTGCTGCTGGTCCCTGTCTTCATGTGTCTATTACTGCGATGAAACACTATGATCAAAAAGCAAGCTGGGGAGGAAAAAAAATTTTTTATGCAGCCACAGCCATAGTCCATCATTGATGGAAGTCAGGACAGGAACTCTAACAGGATGAGAATCTAAAGGTAGGTGCTGATACAAAAGCTATAAAGGGGTGCTGCTTACTGGCTTGCTTCCTCATGGCTTGCTTAGCCTGCTTTCTTACAGAACTCAGGAGTAGCATCACTCACAGTGGGCTGGGCCCTTCCCAATCAATCACTAATTAAGATAATGGCCTACACTGAGGGCATGGTGGCATATGCCTTTAATTCCCAGCACTCAGGAGGCAAAGACAGGTGGATCTCTGACTTCAAGGCCAGCCTGGTCTACAAATCAAGTTACAGGACAACCAGACCTGTTAAACAGAGAAACCTTGTCTCGAAAAACAAAACAACAAAATAAAGAGAGAGAGAGAAAGAAAAGAAAAAAAGAAAAGCCTGCAGCTAGATCTTATGGAAGTATTTTCTTAATTGAGTCTCCTTTTTCTCCAATGACATTAACCAGCCAGTACAGACCCCTCAGTGAATAGGTAGTCTTTTGGGGGCAGATATAAAATCCTGGCATCTTCCTCCTAGGATATGTTGATTGTCTATGAATTACACACAGCTGTCATTCTAATTGGATCTGCCTAGAGGCAGGCAGAGAGAACTCAGAGAATGCTCACTCAAGCCCTGCTCTGTCCTCAGTTTGCAGTAATCCACATACTGTCTGACAAATCTGGGGACGATATTTCCTGGACTCTTTCTTACGGTGTGAGGCTCCCCAGTCAGGTCTGACAACTTCCACATGGGAGTAAAGACATCTGAGTATTTCATGAAGGAGCACACCCTGTCCTGTGTACAGCCTCTCAGGGCTTTTTTCCTGTATAGCTTACCTTAGGATCCCACATCTCTCTCCAAGCCAAGGCCAGGCAAGGGTGTGCATCAGGCAAAAGGAGTGGCATGGCAAACGCCTTGGGATCTTTCATTTATTACTTATGACAAGTAAGTATGTACCATCCCAGTGACTTGGGAGGCCTGGAAAGGCACACAATGGTGCTCCTACATGGCGTCCACTCTCAGAAACTCTTCACCTGCTCTGAGTACCATGACATGCAGCTGGAATTCCATTGAAACCCTCTCCATTTTTTTCCCCAAGTGCCCATGGAAGTAATCAGTGTAAATATACATGGGGCCGCCACGAATCTTAAAGGAAAGTAAAAATATCAATAAAATAGTAGGCCTGAAGGGAGGGGCACACCCAGAAAGATGTACAGTTAAGGAAGAGCTACATGAAGCTAAAACAAAACTGTTTTGATTGAACGTTCACCAGGTAATTATGTAAGTCTTTTTCTGGTGCTGGCGAGTGAACAAGTTAAAAACTTACATGTACTTGGCCAGTGCTCTACACTGATCTAAGCCCATGGCACCATAAGTATCATTTTTCATCCTTTTTGTTTTTTGAGACAGCGTTTCTCTGTGTAGCCCTAGCTGTTCTGGACTCACTTTATAGGACCAAGTAGCCTTCAGCTCACAGAACCTCTACCTCCTGTGTGCTGGGATTAAAGGCATGAGCCTCCAGGCCCGTGTTTCGTCTTTAATTATTTCAACAAACTTTTTCTTCATTTTGAAAGCTGGGGGCCCATAGACATTTCATTTTTTCAACCCCCAAAAGATGGGACATTTTTGTTTCAGCAAGAGTCTGAAGTAGAGGCTGGTAGCCTGGGGCCTTTTCAACCACATTCATACACAGTAAAAACTCCATGGGAACAATATGAAGGAGAGTTATACACAATATATTCTCTCTTCTCACCCCAACAAGCAATGGAGGAATAATATGCTGCCTACCTGGAATGAAGAGGACCATGCAGGGCCACCATAGCCATTAGCAGGCTGGGCCAAGATTGCTCTTAACTTCTGCCATCTCTCCGGCCCCTTGCCCATGCATTCATTGTTGGATGTATGGTCTTCTACTGCAGATTGGTTATCTTAATTAATTGACTTTGTAATGCTGAGATAAAACACCACAACCAAAGCAACTTATAAAAGAAGGTGTTTAATTTGGAAATTCCAGGTTCAGAAGGTTAGAGTAAATGGCCATCATGACGGGGAATGTGGCAGTAGGCAGGCAGGCATGGCACTGGAGCTGTAGCTGAGAGATCACGTCTTGAGACACAACCATAGGTGTTATGCCAGGTTCACGGGACCCTCAGAGACCACCAGGAGATGACTCGATGCAATTGCAAGAGAGCTTTATTACGAGAGCGATCAAACTCGGGACCCAAATCTCACTGGCACAGCAGTAGAGAAGTGGGACCCCGAGCTCTGAGTGAACAGGATTTTTAAAGGGAAGGTCTGTGAGCTGGGGGTTTCCATGGCAGCAAGCGGGGGGGGGGGCACAAGCCTTGGCGTTACAGAATTGGG